AATACCGCGTCCTTGCTCTTGAGGGGTGTGAACTTGGGAGTCAAAATGCTTCGAGCAGCGTCATCACTACCCGAAGAAGTGGCGGCCGCAGGAACAGGCTCTGAAAACGTAGTCTCCTTGGGCATGCGGGGTGGGGAGGGCTTGCCTGAGTCCTCCTCGACCGGATCAATTACGGAAGGCTGATCAGAAGATGGGTGCTCGGGCTCGGGAATGGCGGCTGGTGGGTGCTCAACATGATCCCTTTTTGAGGCTCTCTTCTTCTTTTTCCCCGTAACAAAAATGAGCTAAGTCAGATACAATACCGAGGTAAAACAAACGGAAAAAGTACAGCAAACAACGACCTACTAGGACTAAGATTGACTTGCACGAGCTTCTCCTCGGTCACAAAGTCTTCAAACTTCAAGCCGAGCTTCGCCCAAGATCGGAGCGCCTCCCTTGTCTTCAGGTCCAACCTAACACCAGGGTCCTGAATGGCTGTCCTCCAGTGAGTCGGGAAGGGCCACCCCTCAGTGTTGCGGACCACGAAATAGCGCCTCTTCCAAGTCGGGACCTTGTTAGGGAACTCATGCAAAAGTTTGAAACCAAGGTGAGGTGACAGATAGTAACTTAGCCTGTGTTCGGGCAGAACACATCGGATTCTTCTTGATGGAAAGAATAGAAGAAAAGATGTCGAGGTCAAGAGGAAGATTGTAATAATGGAAAAGTGAAATGGTCCTTACGATGTTGCGGATGGAGTTCGGGTGTAGCTAATCTATGGTGATGTTGAAAAATTTTGCGACCTTGACTATGAGAGGGTGAAGTGGAAGACGAAGACCAGCAACGAGTTGCTCCTCAAAGATCACGATCTCGTTGTGACCATGATCCTGAGGGAAGTTACCTAAGGGAATGCTATAGATGTGGTCGTTGGGAAGTCTATACCGGGCTACTAAGGTTAGGAGCCTGTCTGTCGTCATTGTCGACGGGCCAAAGTTGTTTGGTTGTCGACCTCGGTGTGAGGTGGAAGCCAGGTTACCCGAGGCCTCTCGCTCCTGACCCAAAGAAACCTCCTCGGTGGGACCATGGACCGCGTCCTGACCTGAAGTATACTCCTTGGTAGGACGGGGATCCACGGTCTGAGCCGAGGTACCCACTTCGGCTCTAGCGGACTCACCGCTCCCATCTAAGAGACTATCAAAACTAAAGCTGGAAATGCTAGAAAGACACGGAATCGAAAAGAAAAAGCAAAGGGGAACTCACCAAAAGAAAGACCAAAGAAAGGAAGGCGACCTCGGAAAGACACCAAACTAAAAGACTTGAGCACGACCTCTGATTGCGGATCAGCGGACTTGTGGCAAAGAAAATGAGTCCCTTGGCCCATATTTATAGCCAGATTGTCCGAGAATCAACGGTCGAGATCAACATGACCCGAACTAAAAAACTTGAGTGCGACCTCAGATTGCGGATCCGCGGACTTGTGGCAAAAAAAATGAGTCCCTTGGCCCATATTTATAGCCAGACTGTCCGGGAATCAACGGTCGAGATCAACACGATCCGACGACTCCTAGAGAAACCGATTGCACGACCCTCGAGGTTGAAATCGATTTAGCGCATGTTTTGACATCCGTGCGTGACTCGTACCCGACCTGGGTTATTACTTGGTTGAACCGGGCGGTCGAACAGGTCCGACCGGCGATTCGCCCTCCAAGTTGCCTAGACTTCGTGCCAAATCCACTTGGACTCGTCATGAACTCCCCGCACCGGGTTGAGACCCCTGGCACGTGGAGTGGGGGGCAATTGATGAAGGGCGATTTGGCACGACCTGGCAAGAAGGGGACACGTGGACGCGATTAGATCAAGGGATGACAACTCAGCTTGACAAGTCTAGTTCACAACATTCGGAGCTCGGGTATTCAGCCACCTCGGCCCAAATCCCACCTCGGTGTAGAGACACCTCGGCATCCAATCCAGTTCAAAATTACAAAATCGAAGTACCAGCTCGGAGCTAATGACTCGAATCACTACGTAACCGACTTCAGAGGCCTCTCCAATGGATTCCGAGTTTCTCGGGATCACGATGAGCTAACAGATTCTGACTTTCTCGAGATCACGATGAAAACTCGTCCCCGTTCTGCCGGAGTCGAAAGTGAAACGATAAGACTTATCTACACACCGCTCTCCTTCAAATGCGGAACGAACCTTATCTCCACACCCCCTTAGATCTCGGAGCTCTTTTGTGAATCTCACGACCACTTCACTATATAAAGGCATGAAACCTCAAGGCAAAGGTACGCGGTTACTCTACTCACTAGCTCCCAAATTCTCAAACTTTTATCTTGCATAGCAGAGTTACAGACTTAAGCATCGGAGGGACCTTGCCGGGTTAGCTACCCAGGTTCTCTGATCCACTGTCTTGCAGATAGATCCAGCTCGCTGCTTGATTGGAAGTCAGCTCGCCCTCCAACTAGGAGTAGTCAGATTGCGCAACAACAATTCCCTTAAACTCACCACAACTTTCAAAACGTCTAAAATTCACCATGTCAGTAAGCTTTTATTTTCCAAAACTCACCTTCCGTTAGTGCACCGTTAATGCTTCTTAACAGAGGTGTCCATGTCAGCATAAATAACAATTTTCATGACCAAATTACCCTTGAATGGCGGGTTAGAGGAAAAATTGTCTTTTTCAGTTTTCAATTTTCTTTTTCTTTTTGCATTTTTAATGTTTTGTTATAATTTCCAATGTTTTTTAATAATTTATGCTTTTTTTACATTTTCTATTTTCTACAATCTATAAATTTTCCTGTATTTTTTGTTATTTATTTGTAATTTCTTTGTTTTTCTATAATTTTTGGTGTTTTTTCTACAATTTTTATTTTTTGATTTTGTTTTTCAATTTCTATAGTTTCTATAATTTGAAATTATTTTTTATTTTGTTTGCAATTTCTATAATTTTTATATTTTTTAATCTCTATGTTTTTTATGTATTTTATATATGAAAATATTTATTGAACTTTTTCCTTTTTTTCATGTCTAAATGTTAAAATGGTAATATATTAACACCCGCTAATTTATTTTGTATATATTTTATATTTTTCTATGAAGATTAAAATGGTAATATACTAACACCCATTAGTTTGTTTAACATCAAGTTAGTGACATGGTGAGTTTTAGACATTTTGAAAAGTTGTGGTGAGTTTAAGAGAAATGCTGAAAACTCATGGTAAGTTTTAGACAATTTCCCATAAAATAATGTATAGTTGTTTTTATATTGAATATATGTATAAATATTATTTAATGTTTGATTTATATTTTTTTATTAAGTTTTTTATTTTTTTTAATTTGTAAAAAATGCTAAAAATTGCAATTTGAGGTAAAAAAAAATGTTTTTGGTGAAAATAGCAGGGTAAGGTGTCAAATGTGCCTTGGGATGCATAGATATAAAAAATTTACCTAAAATCCAAAAAAAAAAGTCACCACAATTGGACAATTGAGTGCAAAGTTATGACCTCTAAAAGTTTGCACATACATTGAATGTACAACCTGTGACTTGGTGACTAGGTTGAACAACTTTTGACAAGATCAACATTTTTTAACCAAATATCAGGTTTTAGGCGAATTAGACCCAAAATCAAGACTGGGTTATGGTTCAAATGATTCATTCGGCTAGTCAATAACAGGTTGAAAACATTGCTATATGTTTGATTTTTTAACTCATCCATTGGACATAATGGTTAATGTAATTGACGGGGGAAGTCTTAGTTGGTATTTGATAAATCCAAAATCTCAAATCCTAAAAAAACAAAAAAAAAAGACCTTTTGAAAATAATGCATGAAAATTTGTTTCCAAATATTTGAATGTAGGGGAGTTGATCAATAATCTAAATGCTATGATTGATGTCTGAAAAATATGCATTTTACAAATTTATTCTCAATTTAATATTATAAAATAACATTAATTGAATACATATTATAAAGTAATATTTGTCTTCAAGTATTAAAAATATTAATTGATAAAATGTTATAAATTAATATTAATTAAATGAGAGGTTGTCCGTAACTTCTCGACGCCCAAAATAATCAATGTGAGAGCGGTAGATCCCGGGTGGGCAACAAATGGACAAAATCCTGCATTCCTGCCCTCAAAATCGTTCTTATACAAGAACACTGTACTCAATGGTTTAATCCCCAGCTCAATCAGAATCGTGCCACTAAGACTACCGATTGCTAAATCAAGATACCAAAGATTGTGAGGTTACCAAGCTTCAAATAAGCTCTCTTCAAAAACTAAGCCCTCAAATTAGGGTAAGAGAGAGAGAAGAGGATCGGGACTTCATTTGTTTGATGATTGAGTCATTTATTAAAACACTCCTATAGTTTCATGAATTTATTAAAACTTATGCTATAATTTGTGTTTTCTTAAAACTTTCCCTATAGTTTGTAATCAATTTATTTAATTTATTTTGGCTTTGATGAAAGTAGAAAATGATAGTTTTAACACTAACTTCCATTCAAATAAATTTAATTAAAAGAAACAAAAATAAAAATAAAAAATGTCATTTTTGCCCCTAATAAAACACCAACCACCACTATTTTTTTCTGTTTGGTCAATTTGTTTTCTATACATTTATGCAAAAAAGTGTTAGGGGTACTCTTGAAATAAACAATCATGGATCTATATCTTGAATATTTTCCACTAAATTTAGGGTATTTTAAGAATAAACAACCATGAATCAATGCCCTTAAACATTTTCTACCTAATTTAAGTGATCATGTTGAAAAATAAATAATTCTTAATGAAAAGAGGATTAAGTAAATAGGTTGTAAACAATAAAGAATGTTTTAGTAAAACATAAACTATAAGATAGATTTAAGTAAATCTATTAACATTATAAAGGGTGTTTTAGTAGAATGCAAACTATAGATAAACTTAAATAAATCTGTTAAACTATAAGAGGTGTTGATATAATCAAGAGTTCGGTGGAGCTTTGATCGGTGCAATCAAACGACCATCAAAATTCAAAGAGTTGAAAAAAACAACATTTTCAGCATTCAAAGGCCCATTCATCAATTCAAGGTCACCAAACTCGTGGAGTGGACCAAAACTGTCCATCCACGAGATGAAAACGGAACACAATGATGGAAGCTTTCATCGCCCATCCCGGTCCTGATGGTTGAGCTACTCCATTACAATCTCTTCTGATAAACTCAAACTAATTACCTGACTAAGGAACCTCTACCATTATATATATCATCCCAAAATATAGAATATTAGGAAAGGAAAGACAGCAGAAATTACATTTATGACATAAATAACGTCTCAGCGGGAGAAGCTATGACGATGCTGATGCTGCATGTCTGGTGAGATTGATGCGGGTGAAATGGGCGTTTTCTAGATTACCATAGTAGAGATACTTGCCAATCTTGAGCCCACCAGAAACCATGGACAAGCTAGGATCAGAGTAAAGGGCGACTGCTTTTCCTTCCAAATTGACGGCCAATACTCCACCGTCCCTTTGAATGTTTGGCAGGTGCATGTACTTGGACAATATTGCCATCGTCTTCCTCACGTAGGGATACCTTAGTACTACATCCCAGGAGAGCGTCTTTGCCTGCTCAGTCAAACAAACATCCTAAACCATTAAAAACCATTTGGATTTTGGAGAGAGAGAGAGAGAGAGCGAGAGAGAAAGAACAATCAGAAATACCGAGGGTAGGGCGATCCAAAAATGTCCGTCTCCGTCGTATCGGATGTTGTCCGGAAAACCTGGCAGGTTGTCGATGAAGTTATCTACAGATCCCTTCCTCTCGCCCTTGATGTGATATTTACTGCACCTTCGCCTGCATTTGAATAAGGAAAAGAAATAAGGAAATTGCCAAACAAAATCTAATTATCCCCCCTTGGCCTTGGGGTTAATTTGATCTGACTTCTCTGAATGGAGTGCGGGGTAAACCGTAAACGTAAACTCACCGCGGAGTCTCACAGAAGACGAGAAAACTTTGGTCGGGTGAGAGAGCTACGCCATTGGCGAAGTAGAGGTGGCGCACTAGTATTTGGGTCTGATTGGTTGAGGGATCGAAACTCATGAGCCTCCCGTAGGGCCTCCCTTCAAGGATGTCCAACATGTGATGGTCCAAGTCATATTTGTACGATGCATCCGTGAAATAAATCATGCCATCGTTCGCCACATCAACGCCATCTGTCAGTCGGAATTTCACCCCATCAGCTTCGTCTGTCAGCAATTCTACCAATCCTTCTCTATTCACCTTCAATAGCCCCTGATGCCAAACAACAATACGGGATGAGGTATGAGGATCAAACTTAGAAGAAAGTTCCTGATGTGCGGCTGTAAGGTCTTGTGGCGAGTGTTTTGTGGTGAGCCGGATCCAAGGTGTAAAAGACACCGTCATGATTGGTAGCTAAGTGATTATTTGTCACATCATATATAACCAAAACTGAGATGATGATATGGCACTGTCAGGTGGTAACAACATTTTAAGGGTATAAATCTGGAGAGGAAAAGAAAAGGATTAAAGGGCACTTTTGAGCTTAATATTAATAAAAGTAATATTTTTAATATTGGTTAAATTTTTTTAAATATCAATTAAAGTAAAAATATTATTCATTTTCTTTCTCTTGCAAATCAATTATCAACACAGCTACAGGCCGCCGCCTCCGACAATCTCGGATAATGCCTCCGTCGCCTCTGCCCACCTCCGCCAAATTCTCCGCCCATCGGCTTTTGAATGAAATTCTTCTGGACCATCATAAAGACAACAAATGCAAAGCCAGAAACCAGAACCCGCATGAACACTAAGGAACTCTTGTTCTCACCAGCCGTGGTGCCATTACCAGTGACAGCAATTGCCAGAGCCAACAGCACCCACACTGCAATATCATTAAAGGCAGCGGCTTCCGTGGCTTTCTTGCCCACTTGGGTCGTCAGTAACTTAGGCTCCGCTAAGATGCGGGCGAGGACAGGGAAAGCCGTTATGAAAAGAGTTACTCCCGTGAAAAGGAGAAATTGGCCGTAGCCGACTTTGCTTTCACCGTCCACTGTTTTTTGAAGGACAAAAGCCACCCCGGCGCCGCACGAGAAAGGGAGGGAAATTCCAGTGGCAACGATCGTGAGCGTATCGAGCTTAAATCAAGTTCGAGGCCCACGAGAAATAAAAAGAATAAGAACCCGATACTCGCCACTGTTTCGAGTATCGGAGAGCTCCATGACAGGAAAATTCGGTGAAAGTAGTCTTTGTTTCGTCCAAGAGCCGATTGTCCCAGAAGAATTCCACCCTGTATAACAGAGATTGAGGCGGCGGAAACGGTCCAAGAGCCGATGGGCGGAGAAGTTGGTGGAGATAGGCGATGGCGAGCGGCGGAGTTGATAAATGATTTGTAAGAGCAACTGTATAAGATATTTTCTTTAAAAAGTTAATCAATTTTAGAAATTATATTAAACATATTATTTTTATTGATTTTAGAATTATAAACATTTAAAATGTCAACAACATACATTTTATGCATCAACGCCGCCCATAAATTAACATCAATTCCAAGCTACCCTGACAGTATTTTCAACATACAGATTCTGACCCTCGGCTGATATATCATTCTCCCAAAGGGCACAGGGCAAATGGACCTGACTCCTGTCGTATACTTCCTAGTTCCTACGTTGCGCCTTTTTCTATTCCTTCCCCACCATCTCTCTAAACCTTTAACCATCAAATAATTAAAGGCTGTTATTGACCCATTACTATCTGAAAAACACCGTAGACTTTGCAATCAATACTCCTTTTAGGGAATTTGGAGTTCAATCCACCTCATGGACTCCTTTTTTACAGAAAATGATTTATTTTATCTGAGTGTAGACCCAAATTCTTTTAACTCTTTTTATATCATTTTTTTGAAAAATGGATAAATATATATATATATATATATATATATATATATTATAATTAATAGCACGTCATTGTTTAATTGACAGTCTCAATTTGGAGGCCCACTAATGTTGCCTTTCGATTTGAATTAAAATATTAACTTAAACCTTTCAATAAACAAACCCCTTCTGTTTACCTACTACTCTAACAGCAACCGCTGATGTTATGAATCTAAACATATTATAATATCAAATTTGTCTTTATGTAAAAAATACCTTAAATCTTACAAAAAACTCTTAAAGCTTTCTACTTATTTCTATTAACAGGGGTAAGGTTGAAATTAGAGAGAGAAATTAATAGGGTCATTAAATCATTATAGATATTTAATGTCCCTGTCCACCTTTTATGTATACTTTTAGAAGTGAGGGCAAATTTAATACTCGTAAAATTATGCGCACTCTAATCTCACAGCCATTTTACACTGTGCATTGGAAATATTTTTTCATAAATAAAAAAAAAATGTAACTATGAAAATGTTATTAATACACTATTGAAAAAGGCTGAACACCAAATCCGGTTTAAACAAAAACACCTTTGTCCCAAAAAAGAAAAAATTAAGGGGCATACCAAAATTGAGGGGAAATTAAGGCCTTTTAAAAAAAAAAAAAGACATATGAAAACCAAAGAGTGGTTTAATGGATTTACTCTAAATAGGAAAAAAAATCCAGTATAAAAGCTTTTAAGATGTGACATTGTTGTGGATCTAGTATTTTATAATTAAATCTAATCTAGTCTCCAAGATCTATAAGAAATTCATTTTTAAATAATAAATTGAACGATACCTAATTTTTTTGTCCCTATTATACGTGTCCATATTTTGAAACATTGTCTTGACGCTCTGACTAATAACCATTTTGGTGAATTGGAATCTGTTTCTAACTCAGCGCTCCTCACACCGATTTTACAGCTGCATTCCGTTGGAAATATCCGTACTTCTCCTAATATCCTTGTGAATAATAAATACAAAAATGGGAGATGTTACCGACGTATGGCCGGAACATTCTCTGAGTTCGCTTTGATCAGTAGCGCTCCATTTTGGTTGGGATCCAGATGATGATGGGATCATTTTGGCGTCAACACCATCTCCGGCTTACCTTTACGTTACGGTTTTACTCTCTACAACCCCTTCTCTCCGTAAATGATTTCCGGCGACTGTGGACGCATGTGACCCCAAACATTCCAGTCAAACATCTGTTCATGGAGTTTGGCTTGGGTTAGGGTAAGCCCGTGTTCACACCGTCTCAATAGCCTCTTGCAAACTTATAGAAGAAGTACATGAGGCTGTCGAACGGGCATTCTTGATGGAATCAAGCCGAACTCTGTTGATGTTATGTTTTTTTGGTGTAATAGCATATAAAGGCAATTTTTGGGGTTTAGTATTAATAAAAATAATATATTTAAAAACAGATTAATTTTTAAAAAATAATATTAATAAAAGACAAAAATACTATCAGAGCCGCCGTCCGCCGCCACTTCCGGCAACGTTGCCGGAGATTGGTGGAGATAGAAGTAGCGGCGGAAGCGGGCAGAGGAATCATCACCAGCGCCGTCGCCGCCACCTCTGCCTCCGGCTACCTCCGACAACGTTGCCGGAGGCGGACGGCGGTGACGGGCGGCGGTTCTGATAAATAAATCAAAAAAGACAGTATTTTTGCCCTCTATTAATATTATTTTTAAAAAATTAACCTATTTTTAATTTTTTTTTGCATTTTACTGAGGGTCTCCGAATTGTCCTATGACGATCTCCTCCCTCTCATTATCCGGTGTGTACGGGCGATGGAAATGGTTCCGCTGATGTACACCAAAACCGCCCCAAAGCTTTTCAGCGGTTGTGGATGGTTTTATATCCTATTGATACCAGCCTAGATTGTCAAGTAGTCTAGAAGTTACTTAGAATAATCACTCCTTGGTTTTGTCTTAACCCTGTCTAGGTCGATGAGTAATTCAACCCCCGGCCGGCGGTCGCCATGCAAAAGAATAACAAAATAACAAAAAACTGAGTAGATTGCCTAAAATATATACATATATAATTAAGAATAACCAACCTTGTAAGATTCCGCGACGATGAGTTGCTTGTCAGGTCCGAACGCGAGGCCAAGAGGTCGGCCACCAACATAAACCCAATTCTCCACCCTTGTCTGCTCGGCCGAGTCTTTCACGGTGACTTGCTTTATCCACCCGTCGCTACAACCCGTGTAAATAATACCTGATTCAGCATCATAAGCCAGGTCTTCTGGACCATGCAGAAGTCCATCACCAACCCTCTCCGCCGCATCAAGCACTCGATTGTTGTGCTTCGGTACCTCCACGGTAACCCGAGACAAACCGTGGTCAGGCAGCGGCGCCGGATCGAACTCATCCACTCGGTAGACAAGCACAGCGATGGCTACAGGTGCCACGACGACTAACAGGACAAAATATGCCCATGATACTCTTTGAATCGTGTTGACTGTAGCCGGAGTCTTCTTCTGCTCGGCCATGGTATCAAGTTTGTTTGATGGCTGCGGTGGTGCTGCTAAGTGCTAACTTGTATCCTCGGCTTTTTGGAGAGGATTCGAAGTTACCGAAATCTACTTCCAACGGGACAAAAAAGTCAACAAAAAAAAAACTATAGATAACATCAGTGTGAATTGCAATGTTTTAAAAATCGATTCGGAGGTCCAATTGTTTGTGTCTTTGGGGTCACGAGTCATCGGTTCGACCAGTTAGATTGAATGGTTCAGACTAAACCACATCAGTATATATATATTAAATATATATGTGTGTGCATACATATATATTTTAGTAATAGATAATGTATACATATATTTTAGACATGTTATATCTATTATTTTATATTTAATTTATATTTTTTAATTTTTTAGTTTATCAAAAATTAAAAACTGCAATTTGAGGCTAAAAAGTTTTTTTTTGTTAAAATAGTGGGGCAAGGCACTTGCGTCATCTTGGCATGCATAGATCTCAAAAAATTACCCAAAATAAAAAAAATTATTCCAATCGAACATTGGAGTGCAAAGTTATGAGTCTTATGACACCTGAAAGTTTTGCATGCATTGAGTGTGAAACCTACGACCCAGTCACTAGGTCAAATGGGTCAACAATTGAACCAGCCAGGTCGAATGATTCTTGACCAAGTCAATGGTTTTTGACTGTATGATGGGTCTTAACTAAATCGAACCCAAAATCTTGGTCGGGTGATGGTTTGAATGATTCGACCGGTCGAATCAATTGCGGGTTGAAAACCTTGATGAATTCATAGAAATCACGCTTACTTTCACTTCTATTATAAAAGAGGGTATTACGGCAAAACATCACTGACCATGTCGGCCACAATTGCTACCAACCGTGTCGTAGTCTTTCTGCACGGTCTTCTGTCTGTTTAGAAGCCCGAAAGACCAATTTTCGATCTATTCTTGTTTGGTTCACAGAAGATCTAGCTGCTAAAAGATGGAGCACTTTAAAGACGCAAAAAGCCCATTGTGAGCCAGGAATCTACGATCTTAGCATTTGGGATTTTATGCCCTCTCGGAGCTTCATCATACGTGTGCTTGACACTCACACACAAATTTTATGAACAGTAGTAGCCTCTCGATAAATCCCCCAAAAACCCTCATTTGCACACACCTCTATCAGGTCGCAATTCAAATTTGCTCTTTCGCTTCCCCCTCTTCTCCTCCTGCTCTACCACCGCCATCCTTTATCTCCCCTACTTCTGAAGGGATGAGAGATCCATCATATGGATGGCCGAACCCTGTAGCTAGGTTGGGCGAAATTTCAAAATTTCTCTCTCTTCCATTTGGGAATCACATTCCCTATTTTAGAAAATTGCATTTTCAATGATCAATTTTGAACCCTAAACCAGACCAGATCTGAAACCAAAAGGTAGCAGAGGGATATACCTGATACAGAGTAGTAGTAACTCCCAATGAAGGTGCTCACGCCCAAGGAGATCACCAAAGACTAGTACCACTGAAGATGACACAACGTAGGGTGGAGCAGAATCAGCAGGGTGGTTCTTCAACAAGAACCTGATTCTTCACCAAGAATCTGATGGAGGGCGAGTGAGCACGACTTCATATCAGTTTTTCTTCCAAAAACTGATATCAAGAACCTTTCTTGATCGCTCTTACAAGTGGAGATCGAACTGGCAATGGCGGCAACAACAGGATAAGGCAAGAGCAGAAGATGGCGTCAGTCCAACTGTAGCTGTCTTCTCTCTTGATTCAGTAATCTTGAAGGATGAATTGGGGTTCTCCCTCCTCCTCTATTTATAGCCTTAAAGATAGGTTCTCCTAATCACATTAGGAGTTTCCTAATCCAAATATTGTATTTGGATCTAGATTCTCTTTAAGAGATAAGGATAATCCCTTATCTTATCTACAGATAAAGATCAACCCTCCTAATCTGATTAGGAGTTTCCTGATCCAAATCTCTATTTGGATCTATACTCTTTGAGTGGATAGGGACAATCCCTTATCCTATCTACTGATCTAAATCCTAGAATCGCCCCTCTTTAATTAATCATATTAAACTAGTTTGAATTGGGCTTTAGGTCCATTAAGTCCATGTGCTCACTTATCCTCCAAATTGCTGCTCATTTGGGTATCTTTGTATGGCGTGGGATCTAAACATTGATCTACACATCAGCCACATGGGTTCAGCCCAACCTCTGTGGCAAGGCATGTCCGAATGCCCTGTAGGAGACAATGAACCCCTGAGTCCATCACCATGGGCTCTTAATGGGCCCAACATTTACACTAAATGGTCCCTGGGTCAAGCCACCTTATAAAATCCCAATGACTGTGGGCAGATGCAAGATTAGCCCATCAGGTATTACCCTCAATGGTCTTATACTTAACCTCTCAGCCCATAATGATCAAACACTACCCGACAAGAGATGACCTCTCCCTCGGTTGCAAGGAACAGTGTTGCACTCTCTACTCACATGGATCCCGGGAATTAAAACATTTTGCAAACATTTTGAAACCATAATATATTTGCAAAACAAATTTCAACGGTTGAAATCGGCTGCTGGCAGCTTTGGTTTCCATCAAAGAGAGTGCATCCCCGATCATTCACTTTGTCCGACAAAGGGGTTGATCCTGTTACTATGATCACTCACTCAGATGAATTCTTGCACTATCCCAACATACCCAAGTTTTGACCCCCTCTAAGGAACTGATTGGCATATCAAAGACAACCCAATCCGACACCTAGTGTAGTATCATAATCGAGACTAGGGGTCAGGTGTAACATTCCAGTTTTGCCCATCTATCTCTAAGGTCCAGGGCAATACTGGAATTCTGGTCCGATTTAGGGCTTCAAGAAAACCCACACTGCATGTACCTGAGTTCTCACCCTGGCAGCTGAGACAAGCCACTCCAACCAACTCGGCGGCACATCAGTGTCAGCTTTGACAGGATAAATCTCCTCAGATCTATCCAACGACTGTGAAGATTCTAAACTAACACGAGTCTCATCTGTATCCAGTTTAAGGATATTACACAGAAACACACCATAATAACATGAATCAAATATGTAATTTGTTCATTTACATTAAATGTCATAATGCATATCATTCTGATTGGAACTAAGGGCATACACTGTCTAACAACTTCGTCTCTCTTCCACCGTCACCTGCACCGCACACCCTATTCCACTAATTGTCTTTCCCCTATTTTACAAGAGATTACAAATCACTCGGCATTGATTTTTCTCGTGGCAGTGGTCGTCCGTCATTTGGTTGGTGGTTGGTTGGTGGCTTGTTGTGTTACATATGGATTAATGTGAACCACTGAGATTTTTTTTTGTGTTTATATTCATCTGTAATGTGGTCTGTGGTTTGATAAGGATTAATGTGAATCACTATTTTTTTGTGTGTTTATTGCTTTGATATAGAAATCATTGATTTTTTTTTTTGTGTTTATATGCCATCGGTAATGTGGTCTGTGATTTGATATGGATTATGTGAACCACTGATTTCTTTTTTTTTTTTGTGTTTATCATCTGTAGTGTGGTCTACAGTTTGATATGGGAATTACTGTTTTTTCTTCTGTGTGTGTTTATCTTCATCTATAATGTTTTGATAATGGATGAATGGCTTTTGGCTTAAGATTTACAGTCACTAAGTAGCCCAGATCAACAGTATACATACTCAAGCAATTTCAAATGGTCTTTGGGCTGATATTATCTTCCAACAGATCGATGAATAATCACACTTACCAAACGGCCTATAGGCTATTTACTGACAGATCTTATATCAAAAACTTATACATTTTACTGACAGAACTATCAAAAGATCTTCTAAAAAAGACATATCAAACAAGACCTAAATCAAAGCTTTTGACTTGTTGTTATAGCCCCACCTTGAATTACATGTATTAATTTATTGCTGGGCCACTGCAATACATCTAAAGCTATGGTTTTCTGTTTTAGCTCTGACCTAATAGGCTAATACAGTGTAACTTTCGTAGCAAAAGTGAACTCAAGCTCCATAATGATACGTGGTCTGACCCACTAACGGGATTAAAACGGTCTCCGCTACTCTAGCCGAGGAAAAAGGAATTAAGGGTATGACTTAGGTGGGCCCAATTCGAATTTATCTGATCGGGTTTTAGTTTTCGAATGTTTAAATTGGGCTTGGGACAAAAAAAATATATCAATTATGTTTAAATTGAATCCGACCTGACCCAATTTAATCTCATCCAATATTTGATAATATGCATATATACGTAATATCAATTATAAAGATCAACATATCCAAGCATAAGTCCGATTCTAATTCTAGATATTGAGATAAGCTCAAGTTATGCCTAGATTAGTAAACTCGGAGTTAATCTTGACTTGGGCCAAGCCTGAGCTCTAGCTTTCAGACTTAGGGTTGAGTTTGGATAGATCCTCAATCTGATTCAACCCACTCAAATTACACATTAAGAAGGAGTATTGTTACATTCTTAATTGTATTAGTTTTCAATTTTTATGAAATTGTTTTGACTTTTACTAAATTTTTATTTAGAATTAAGTTTTGTTATTTTTAAATGCATTGCAGGATTTCAAATTAATAATAATTAAGTTTAAAACTATTAATTTTTTTTTTTTATTTTATCAACAAATTTATAGTATTGTTTTATTTTTAAATGAAATATAAATGGATATCAAATTATAAGATTTATTTTTAGAATTAAAATTTTCTTTTTTATTTGTTGTTTTATTAATAAACATGTATTAAATTTATTTTTAAATAACAACTTATAGTAATGTTAGCTATATAGGGACAAAGTTATAGAGATTTTTAGTTAATAAGTTGTTATTGACTTTTTTCCATAGGCTCAGTTTGGAAAGACTACAAATGCAAATATGCCCAGTGCAAATATACAAAACAATACAAAATATAAGGTTTTGCACTCTACATATTTGCATTTGTATTCCTTCCAAACTGAGCCAAGAATATAAATACAAATATGTATAATAAAAATACATGAAAAATAATACAAAATATAAGGTTTTGCACTGTAGGTATTTGTATTTGTATTCCTTCCAAACTGAGCCATAGGGAATACACCATAGGGGTAGCCCATCCGCCAAACCCAT